TGATTTTTTTAAAACTTAAACTTATGGAAATCTTAATTATGTAAAATATTCTAGCTGCTATAATTTTTTTGGGGGGGTCATATTACTCAGTATTAAGTTTGCTTTGTGCATGTATTAGTAGTATTTGTCTTCTGGAAAATTCTGGTGATGAAAAACTAGAAGCTTAGTGTACTTCGGAGTTTTCCTGTAAGAAAATCTAACTTCCTAATTTTGTATATGGGATGATCTTAAAATGTCATTGTTCAGGGAAAGTCTACTGAATGGGAAAACCTATTTTCTGTGCTATGTGATTAGAGACTGACAAAAAATAAAAAGCAAAGTCCCAAGTATAAAAGCAAATGATCTACCTAGTGGTATCCAGATTGTACTTTTGGACCTTTAGCAATCTAGGGTTACTAAGTATCTTGTAATTAAAACTTTATATATTAATAGTTTCAAAGGATGGGTATAATAAGGTCTGTTGAGGGTAATTAAGGGTAAATTTTTCTAGTTTAGTATGATTTAGAAGCATTTGAATTTTTAACGGTTTTGTTAGATACCACAGGTTGCGGAATTAATCTTAAAATAGAACTTATTTTCTCTAGGAACCTTTAGTTAATGTTTTAAGAGAGATATTTGTTGTATAGTTCATACTCATAGTTCTACCTTTATAGATGTGGAAGTAGGATTATGTCTTTCCAGGATAACACAGGAATTTTGGACACTTGCCTTTAATCCTGAAATCGTCATTAATTTCTCACTTTGCAGTCCACTCTCTATATAATCTTTTAGGTCTAACGAACTATCACAGGATGCAAAAACTAACATCTAAAAAGAAAAACAGGGTTACTCAAGGTAGAGGAGTCATCATTTTCATCTCAAAATATTTACTTTTTGCCCCCTTTCCTCTGATAGATCTGTTAAATCATTCTTAGTTAAATCATTCTTAGGATCTCAGCTTTTACTAACTTTTCAGTCAAAAATTTCATACTTAAGGTCTAATAGTGAGACCATTTCATTGATATGTGAAAGGATGTGTTGCTTATGCAATGAGGGGCAGGGCTAGCTAACCTCTCTTGGCACCTCCAGGAAACTACCCAGCTCTGCTGGGGGAGCTGCACACAGAAAAGGAAACAGTTACTACTCCACGGTGAGTAACCCTGTTTTCTCCTTATTTCACCTTCTGACTGTTTTCATTGATTTTTAAAAGCTTGTATGTCAGACATGGAAATAATTCCTGTTCTCAGAGTTACTTTTAAATCTAGTAGTATGTAAGATTTCTCTTTACTTAGCAACCTTTATCCACTTGGTAGAGTGAGAGCCAGCTTTTCAGTTGTGTTTATAGCTATTATTGATACCTAGGATTGAATTGGATAAAGGAACACAAAAATAGGCCTAATTGTCTCTTGTGAAACACTTGTACCTTGAAATGAAAAAACCTATTAGTGGCTTGGTTTTATATCTTTTATGCTGGTTTTTACTTGAGAAGATAAGGATTATTGGTATGAGTAGGATATTCTTTTACTTGTACACAGGAAGAAATTTATATTATTGTTTGCAGCTGTTTCATGACAGTTCATCTAGCCTCCTTTTGCATATGTGATTTGTATTATATATTTTGTTTTTATGTTATTAGTCATTTCTTCGTTTTTTCACCATCCTTTTTATACCAGTGATATTTTCAGTTTCACTCTAATCAAATCTAAAGATTGCCATCTTGTGGTACAAATAACATAATTGTCGAAAATTCATGTCTTTTCTTTAGTGGCACAATGGCACAAATGTTTGAACACACTTTGTTATAAATAAGGTGGCCTGGAACTGTCTAGGAGCTGTGGAGCTAATTTAACTTAATTGTTATTATATATGATATTATTTACAATATGTTGTGTTCAAATTATTTTTCAGAATTATATTTAGTTCCTGAGGTCAGATGATATTACTGTTTGCAAAAAGAACCGGTGAATGAGTAGGATGAATTTCACATGCAGGGGGGAGGTGATGATGGTATTTGATTTAAATAGATATTGCTGTTATAGCTTTTAGTCAGAACATAGATTTGTAAATGTTGATGGCACGTTTAAGCCTATTCAGTTAAGATTATGTACATAACTAAAAGTTGCCAGAGCAATTTTAAATATTTAGAATACAGTCTGGGCACTCCTACACCTAAAATGTGCCACAAAGAATTGCGAAGTTTTACTTAGGTACTGGATAGAGATTTCTTTTAGAAAATCATTCTCCTAAGTTCAGAAGAAATATTTATTGGAAATACCTATTTACACTTTTTGAGAAGCATTTAGTGTAAAGCATGTCAATCCAATTGGAGTTTAATTGATTCATGATTTATAAGAAGAAATCAAATTAAAGCTGAATCTTAGTGAGTAAGCATAGGAAGAACTTGTGGATAAGAAGAAATAAAGCTGACATATATAGCTAGCCGGATGTCTTCTATACATAGTCATCTCTCGATATACTCGGGGTATTGGACCCATGTGTATAACAAAATCCATGCGTACTCAAGTCCTACAGTCGGCCCTGTGGAACCTGCCTATACAGAAAGTTGGCCCTCCATATATGCACAGGTTTTGCATCCTGCAAATACTGTATTTTTGAACTACATTTGGGTGAAAAAAATCTACACATAAGTGGACCCGTGCTGCTCAAACCTGTGTTGTTCAAGGGTCAACTGTACACAGGAGATATGGAAGATGTGTTTTTATGGAAGATGTGTTTTAATTCGGGTTTTAAAAGTATTGGAAGAGGATAAGACATTTTTATTTAAATATATTCCTTAATATTTTTAAATCTTGTACAGGATTGTATACTTTTTTAAGGAGTCAAGTGATAATATTTGAATTTTCTGATACGGAAGCAATTCAAAATGACACATGGATTTAAGAAATTAGTATCATAGTATCATGTCTCTTAGATGAAACCTGTTTTTAAATGTGATTACAGTTACTAGAGCCAGAAATGCATACAAAAAAAAAACACTTCAAATTCTCAAGTGATAGTCTTTTTTGATATAGTAAAAATTGTGGAGAATAATTTGCTATGGAGATTGCTTTTTTAATCTTATTTGTACAATGTGACAATAATTAAAATTCATGCTTGATTCAATATTATATGGCATTAGGTACGGACTGGGTATAGTGAAAGTTGTATTTCTACTTTGGAAGGCTACCTGTGTTTATAGCAACAGTGGGGAGGCAAGTATTCTCACATGACAGTCCATGGCAAGCACTTCCCCATGCTCTAATGGGGGGTGGGGGAAGGTAAACCTCCTACGCTTTATTCTTGTTACTCTCTGAACACAGGTCTTTTCTCTTTGGTGGAGAAATCTAATTTCAATAAAGAGTTGGAGTTCATTGTAAAAGAAGGAATCTGATTTTTTTACTAACTAGATTTTGGATATGTATATATTTTTTGATCATGCACAAATATACAGGATGCTCAAGTTTGAAAGTTGTTGCCAAAGGTTGAAGCTTTATAAAATGAAATCCAAATTTTAAGAAGAATTTGATCTTTAAAGTCTCTGAAAAAGCAAGTTAGCATTTTGTATTATAAAGTATTAATGAGGCCGGGCACGGTGGCTCACGCCTGTAATTCTAGCACTCTGAGAGGCCGAGGCGGGTGGATCGCTCAAGGTCAGGAGTTCGAGACCACCCTGAGCAAGAGCGAGGCCCCGTCTCTACAAAAAATAGAAAGAAATGATCTGAACAACTAAAAATATATATATGTAAAAAAAATTAGCCAGGCATGGTGGCGCATGCCTGTAGTCCCAGCTACTTGGGAGGCTGAGGCAGGAGGATTGCTTGAGCCCAGGAGTGAGCTAGGCTGATGCCATGGCACTCTAGCCAGGGCAACAGAGCAAGACTCTGCCTCAAAAAAAAAAAAAAAGTATTAATGAACTCTGAAATAAGTTATTGAAAAACATTCTTTGTTTATACTCTGTAGGCTTGAATTTGAAACTTGAGGAAATATTGTTGCTATTCTAGGCACTGGATTATGGCAGCGGACATAAATACCTGGCATTTTAGAAATTACAATGTTATTACCTGTTATTTAGATAAATATCTGAATTCATAACTGTCAAATATTAAGGTATAGATAACCCATGTAATTCAACTACTTTTGGGGGTATACAATATAGCTGGGGATATGTCGATTTAAAAATAAGTGTTTTCTTTATTGTAAGTACCATGCAGTTTATCGATGATGAGTAATAATAATAAAAGTCCCATTTATTAATTACCTCATGTTGGCATTTGTGCCTGTTTTTCCTCTTAAATAGTATCATCTCTTTGTTTAAAAAAGTTATGAACAAATCTCATATTTTGAAATGTTCAAAATTAAAGTATATATTTCATTGAAGAAAATTTAGATTTCAGATATATAGATTCTTATTCTATAAAATCTGTTCTTGCACACTTAAAAACTGATTTTTTTAACCATTTAATAAATTTACTTAGGTATGGTTGTGGTAACATAATTTGTTGCAGCAGATCTTTAATTAGGAAACAATGTTTTTACATCTAAATTTCTTCAAAAGGAGCGGCATTTTACTGCAGATGTTAGGAGAGATCCGTTTGGTTTTAAGCAGAAGAGTAATGATTGTCTTAAGCTAGTCTGCTATGTATGCTTCAGTAAAATTTGTGAGTTTTAACCATTATTGTACCGTTGTGAAGCTGACTTTTCTTTGTATAAAGTTTACTGTCAGATTTAATCTTTTACATTTAAATGTTCAATATCAGTATTCCTTTGGGAGGTGAATTTTTCTTCTGAAGTCACTAAATTAATATGTTCTTTAAGATAAATAATATGGTTCTTACCGAAACGGATAGCATTAATCTTCAGAAGGCTAGGGTAAAGAATTGAAGTATTGAAGATGGGAAATCTGTTTTTCTTAAAAGAGTATTATTTTTGTTTTGATTTAAACAGTCTAGCAATGAGACTTTTCCCTTTAATGCTTTGTATTGGTATTATTAATAAATGCAAGCACTCTTGTTTTTATACAGGGTACCAAGTATGGTGTCCTTGGAAGAGACAAAGTTGTATACTGGACTTGAATATGGTATGTGAATACTAACCTGGGTGTATCTGTGTGGGCTTTTTTTTTTTTTTTTTTTATCAGTTCTGCTACAAGGGTTAAAATGGAATAGTTTTGTAGTTATGATTTTTATGGCCTCTGTTTTAATAAATAAAATGAATATTAATTACACAGTAGTATCATTTTTGCTTTTTCTGAAGAAACTGGAAAGTTATATAAAGAATAGCCAATAAAAGATAGAAATTAGGTCAGTAAATCAATATCTGAATGCTTTCTACATGGAGAGGTAGGCTTTTATATCATAATGGTCATTTATGTTTAAAATTTTTTCAGGATTTATATAAAATACTGATGTAAATGGGAATTTTGTAACTTTATATTCCAATGATCTTTGTATCTTTCTATCATAGTAAGTTAAATATCAATATTTATGTAAAAATTTTATTGTGTTAATTTAATGTTCTCAATCTAACATTAATAGAAATTCAGCACACTTCCTTGTTGCTGTATTAACATTAGAGTTAGTTACATACATTAATTACTAAGGTATAATTGTTTGCTTGATTTGGGTCACCCATAACTAATTAGAGAACCCTATGCATTTGTGGTCTCTAGTGCCTAGAGCCTTTGAAATATTGGCAAAGATGGTTTTTCTCTTCCTATCCTCCTCACCTCCCCCACCTTCCTGCACAATAAAGTTTTATAAGCAGGTCGTTTTATTATTATTTTGAGACAGGGTCTCACTCTGTTGCCCAGGCTAGAGTGCAGTAGCATGATCATAGTTCACTGCAGCCTTGGACTTCTGGGCTCAAGCAATCCTCCAAGCAGTTCATTTTATTTATTTATTTATTTATTTTGAGACAGAGTCTCACTCTTTTGCCCAGGCTGGAGTGAGTGCCGTGGCGTCAGCCTAGCTCACAGCAACCTCAAACTCCTGGGCTCAAGGGATCCTCTGCCTCAGCCTCCCGAGTAGCTGGGACTACAGGCATGCGCCACCATGCCTGGCTAATTTTTTCTATGTATTTTTAGTTGTCCGATTAATTTCTTTCTATTTTTAGTAGAGACGGAGTCTCGCTCTTGCTCAGGCTGGTTTCGAACTCCTGAGCTCAAACAATCCTCCCGCCTCGGCCTCCCAGAGTGCTAGGATTATAGGCGTGAGCCACCGCATCCGGCCCAAGCAGTTCATTTTAAATGTGGAGGTTTCAGAAGTTATTCTGTATCATGCCTAGCTAGCCACTTTGATGAAGGCGGATCCATTTGTTTTTTTCCTGGATATTTTATTCCTTTCTGACGTAAGCCATTGATATATTGGTCTGCAGAGCATTCAATGTCTAAAATGCCTTCTCTTATTTTTTAAAAAATAGATCTATCCAGAGAGAACCACCGAGAAGCAATTGCTAGGGTCATAAGGAAACTTCTCGGTAAGTATCATATCTGCATTTAACGTATTTGTACTTAAGTATTTAGGAATTTTATTCTATAGCATATAAGCCTTTACTTTTACATTTTCTGTTTTAAATGGTGAGAATATTGAGGCAGCGATTTTTGTTCCCCTTAACTAATGGATCCTTGACTAATAATGCATCGGGATTCTTAAAGTAGTTCAAAATAATTTTAACCAAATTACTTTTTCTTCTCTCATTATAGACCACATACTTGATAATTCAGAAGATGATACCAAGTCATTGTTTCTTATCATAAAGGTACAATTGTTGTTTAATAGTTGCATAATTATTAATATGATCAGGCTTGACTTGTAAATAAAATTTGAAATTCTTTGACACAGATTATTGGAGACCTTTTGCAATTCCAAGGATCTCACAAGCATGAATTTGATTCCCGATGGAAAAGCTTTAACTTAGTAAAGAAATCAATGGAAAATCGGGTCAGTATTTTCACCTAAAAGTCTGAATTGATTTTTTTTAAAAGATATATAATAATCTCTTGATTTAGGGATTATTCAGCATAGAAAGGAAGTTTCCCTATAAGGAAAAATAGCAGATTTTAAAATATTATGTAAAGGCTGAAAACATGTTAGAAATCCAATGAATTGTAGAAAAAATGTGTTTTCCTTGGAAAATTCTTCTGTCATTTTCCATGACGGTCTCTGAACTCTCGATGGGAATTTGGACAATAGCATTCAGGCTGCCTTTTAAGAACTTGAAGGAATGAACAAACAGGAGGAATTGGCCACAGGCATGAATTTAAAGCATCGTATTTTATGTGGATCTGAGAAAAATTTATCTTGTATTATATTCGTGCTCCAATGGAAGTCAGTATAAGCTTCTCTGGGAGCATGGAGGAAAGAGTACCTAAGTAAGATAGGAAGTGTTCACAGCAGTGTTATTTTACAGGAAAGTTTTACTGAACAAGGTTGTGTGAGTTGATTGTTTAAACAAGAGGTGCTAGGTATTTTAAAGAGAGGGAATGGCATGCTTTGGGGAACAGTGGCTGTAGGAAGGAGTGGTAAGAGGTAAACTAGGTTGTTTGTAGTTTTGTTTGTTGTGAGAAAGTGCTCCAGTTTTATATTCCGAGGCGGGGGAGTCATTAAAGGCTCGTAAGTAAATCTGATTTGAATATTAGAAAGATCAACATTCAGTTCACTAAATATTGAAAAGGTCTGCCATTGCTGTGAAAATTAAATACAAAAAGATTGATACTGAAAACAAGGAGGGCAGTTAAACTGCTATAGTCCCATGTGAAAAAACAGAATCAAGTCACTAGCATTGGACTGGAGATCAGGTGTTTTGGAAAAGGTCGAAGGTGGGGCTTGATGATAAATGAGATACAGGTGTGAAAGAGGACCAATCTTTGAGTCCAAGGTATCTGCCTTTGGAGACTGGGTGGGAGATTATGTGAGTACAAGCTTAAATGAGAATTTTTGGAACTATAAAATGTTATATCCTATAGTAAACATATACAGTTACCCTGAAAGGCATTTTATAGATGTAAGAGAGTTGAGCAGTTTTCTTAGGCTATATTTATACTTTTAATACTTAACTGAATAATGACCCAACTCTGTTGTTCTGCCATGCATGGATCCATTAATAAACTGTCAGAGAAAAACTGGGCGTTGGATGAAACATTTAAAAGAGGGATATTTTTACTATTAGCCATAAAATTAATTGAGATAGTATATTTTAAATGTAAGCCTCATGGCTTTAGAATGAATGAAATACCACCACCATTTGCCAGTCCACTATGGGCCTTTTTAAAACTAATTTTTCATTAAGGGATTTAGAGGAATCCATTGTTAAAGTCATTTAGGGAAAATGTTGAGGTGTTTGCTACTTTGTTTTCCAGCTCCATGGGAAAAAACAACATATCAGAGCACTTTTGATTGACAGAGTAATGTTGCAGCATGAGGTAAATATCTTTTTTAATCATGGTGACTTTTAAAAAGCCAATTTTCCAGATGAATATTTAATTATTTGTGTTTAATTAAGTGAACCTTTAGTAAATACTTTGAGGTTTGATTTACTTTGTTTTCTTTTCTTAGCTACGAACACTAACTGTTGAGGGTTGTGAATACAAAAACATACATCAGGATATGATCAGAGATCTTCTGCGTTTATCTACCAGTTCATACAGTCAGGTAAGCCTTAACCAAATACTCTGCCTTCATCCTCCCTCCTATTTTATTACATGCAATCTAAATATCCCCAGTTAATAAGGCAGTGTAAATAATTTCTCCCATAGGCCACAGCTAGGAAGTAAGAAAACCAGAACCAAAAGCTAGGCCCTCTTAACTCATATTGGCATAGAAGAAAATACCTCTCAAATTGCAAATATATTCAAACTAATTTTGCTAGTCATTTTTTATAATGTTTAATTTTGTTGTTTGTAATTGCTTCTCAATTTTTCATTTAAAGTTGAAAGATAGTGCTAGTGTGATGTTGAAGACCAGTCTATGAAGGCCACTTAATTCCTCCTAGACATTATGCTTAGGTTTTAGAAACCTGATACAATGTGAAGGGCAGGGTTTGTACTTTAAGATACCGTAGGATGAAGAGATTATCTCCAAGTACAGAGATGTGGAAAAAACAAGAGCTTCATGTACAACCAATTATTCTATCTTTATAAAACAATGTTAATCAAGTATATAGGTAAGAGCATCTCAAATCTGAAAATCCAAAATCTGAAACTTTTTGCTCAACGGAAAAAAAATGTCCAACATGATACTCAAAGGAAATGCTCATTGGAGCATTTTGGATTTCGGATTTTCAGATTTGGGGTGCTCAGTCAGTAAGTATGTAATGCAAATATTCCAAAATCCCCCTTGAAACATTTACTGGTCTCAAGCATTTCAGGTAAGGAATACTCAACCTGTAACTAGTCTGTAACCCGGACACTTGTCCCAAAGTGATGTTCCAAAGAGTTTGAAATATTTACAATGTGTTGCTTGGAAACTATAATCAGTTATTATCCATCACTGTTTAAGTAGTTCATTAGGTTATAAATTTATACTGAATCTTTTGTTCGGGATCAATATATGGGGCTATACTTGAGGTTTGCATTGAAAAGGTGAAGTTGTTCTGTGTCTCTTTTGCTTATTTAAGTTCCTTCTGGAAAGTTTTTAGTTTTCCTGTGTGGACAGAAAAGAAAATCTGACTCTTATTAAGAGTAACTCAGAATAAAAAGTGTAATAGTCTCCTGATTCCTTTTACCCATGATACTGAACAAATGCATATCAGTTTCATTCTATCTCCCCTTTATCAAAAGTATTTGAACCAACATCAACCTAAAGCACAGATGTGCTTGGTGATAATGTGCTTTCCTTTTCATATAAAGATAATCATTTGTTGTTCTTGTTAATTAGAAAAACATTTAAATTATCATCAGTCGTTTTTGGTGATTCATTTAGAAATCTTTTATAGTTTGTCTACTGTTTAATAAAAAGTCTTTTGTTAATAATACTTTCTCCAGGTCAGAAATAAGGCTCAGCAAACATTTTTTGCTGCATTGGGAGCATATAACTTCTGTTGCAGAGATATCATTCCCTTGGTTTTGGAGTTCTTACGGCCTGACAGACAAGATGTCACACAACAGCAGTTCAAGGTATAGAGTTTTTTTATGTTTTACTATGAAAATTTTCAAAAGTTGAAAGAATTCTGTAGTAAACATCCATATATCCACCATTCAGAGTCTATATTTAAAATTTTGCTATAATGTTTTATTATTACATATCTGTTCATTTTTTTTTATGTATTTCAAACTAAGTTGAAGATATCAGTACAATTCACCTTTAAACAGGTATAGTCATTTTTTTCTCCCTAATTATTATTTTCTTATGTTCGTGATCAATGTATAAGATGCAGACTTCCCTGAGGAAAAGAGCTTAACTTGTACTCTAATGGGTAGTCTGGCTGGTCTGTGAGAGGGAGGACGAAAGATCTGAAAGTTTAGAGTAGCATCACCAGCATGAAGGAAGGGCCTGAGACAGGAACAAATGTGGTAAGTACATGAGTGAAAGCTTAAGTGATTAGAGCAGAGAAGGAAAAAAATGACACAAATAAGGCAAGTACTACATCCCATAGTGATATAATAAAGTATAGGTAAGATATAATGATTCCTTATACCATCAGATAGAAAGAAATCGAGAGTGATTTAGGAGAGAGAATGGATAGGACTTGGTGATTGAATATGGGAAAACTGAGAAAAGGAGATGTCAAAATTACTAAGCTTTTGGATTGTAAACTAGTTATTGGGCACATCAGAGAGAGAGAATAGGAGAATAGATGATGAAACTGTTTGTTTGGACAAGTTTAATTTCAAGTGGTTCTTATAAACTAAGAGCTAGTGTCAGCTATGCACTTAGATATCTGAGTTTAAAGGTACCATTTCTGGGTATATTGAAATTTTTTTGCATGGGTAAGATAAGCATAGCTGGTGAGTGAGAGGAGGACCAAGGGGGGCATGTATTGACATTTCTTTAGAAGCCCAAGAGCTGGCTGACATGGGAGAGATTGGAAAGGTATCAAGAAATGAGGAGGAATGACTCCTCAGAAAGTAAGGAGCGATCTTTCCAGAAGGAAGACTCAGTCAGCAGTGTTAGTTGCTTTATGGAGATAATTAAGATGAGCCCTAAAAATGTTCCTTTAAGTTAGCTTGTAAGACAGAGGTGCCAGCAAACTATCACTCAGGTTCAGTTGCTTGCTTTTATAAATAAAGTTCTGTTGGAACACAGACATGCCCATTCCTTGACTCTGTATGGCTGCTTTCATGTTACAGTGTCAGAGAAGAGTAGAGACAAAGACCAGATGGATTGCCCTTTATAGAAAAAGTTTGCCAACCACCCCCACCCCATATAGATGTGTAATTCAAGAGCGTTGTAGAAGGTCTAACTCATTGGATATCATGTTGTTGACTTTGTTGAGAGCAATTTAAATGGATAAAATCAGAGAGGTCAAGTAAAATCAAAATGGACAAATATATGTTGGTTCAACAAAATCAAGGTTACTGGTGACCTTATGGAGAACTCGTAGAGTAAAGTGGTATATAGGGTAAGAAGCTAGATTGGAATCAAGTTAGAGTGAATTTGGAAATAACAAAATATTTTGATATACTAATAGCTATTTTTTATGAAAAAAAGGGGTACCTTAGAAAGGATACCTGCTGTCAACAGAATGATTCTTATTAATTGGACTTTTGAGTGAAAAATACACAGTATTATTAAATAATCTAGTTTTTACAGACGTAATAAAATTCTTGGCAACCAGGTGTTAAATACTACTTAATAAATTATTTCAAACATTAGGCCCTAAAATACTAAGAGTGGCACATTTCATAGCCTTTATGATATAGTAGAAGAAAACAGAATGGTATCTATATTCTTAGAAATATCCTTACATTACCTTATTAATAGCCATTCTTTGACTATTAAATGACTTACAGAAAATATTAGTGAATGCTACTTAAATGTCATGTTCAAGTTTATAAAAGTAACATTTTAAGTGTGTGAACCTATTTACTAAGCAATATTAAACATATGAGTAATCAATGCAGATTTAAAAATAACATGTAGATACATTGGCTACAGCTGAACAATGCCTCTTATTTCCTGTATAAACATACTTATTTCCTACAGGGTGCCTTGTATTGTCTTCTTGGAAATCACAGTGGTGTGTGCCTAGCAAACCTTCATGATTGGGACTGTATTGTACAGACTTGGCCAGCAATTGTTTCTTCAGGGCTTAGCCAAGCAATGTCCCTGGAGAAGCCATCAATAGTGAGACTGTTTGATGATCTTGCAGAAAAGATTCATAGGCAATATGAAACAATTGGCTTGGACTTCACAGTAAGCAAAATCATTTTTTTCATTCAAATTTTAGTGGAAATACTGCTTTGTTAAAATGCTTTTTATTTTTCTTGTATTTTTTTTTTCCAGTAATAGTATTCTTAACACTTGATCCTAATGTTCTTTTCAAAAGCATTTATCTATTTCTTTTTTGTACTTTTAGGGATCATTATTGTAGATAATAGGGTGAAGTAGCAAGTTGAAGCATGGCCTGGAGAGATCCAGGTTCTTTTCTACCAAGAGGCTACAAAGAGTTATTACATTGTTGTAATTTACCATTATTTTGTGTGTATCCATGCTTTCATTTTTCAAAGAGTTGATTATATTTTAGGAGGTTAGACATACTTGCCAAAGTCACAAAAGATTCACCACTGGGTTAATATTTTATAGTAAAGGAAATTAAAATTGAATAATGTGACAAATGAAAGAGTAAAAAATATAAGGTTCAGTGGTGCTCACATTGAGAGATACAGCAGATCATCTAAGAACTTGCAAATCTGCATTCACACCCTGTGAGGATGTGGGGTGGGGATGGGTAAAGGAAGGGTGAGCATAGGTGAATCCCCCTTTCCTAAAGTGATTGTGGTTGACATCCCTACCCAGGTTTAAAAATCACTGCTCTAAGGCAGGCTTGGTGGCTCATGCCTATAATCCTAGCCCTCTTGGAGGCTGAGGCAGAAGGATTGCTTCAGCTCAGAAGTTTGAGACCAGCTTGAGCAAGAGCCAGACCCTGTCTCTACTAAAAATAGAAAAATTAGCTGGGCATCATGGTGTGCACCTGTAGTCCCAGCCACTAGAGAGGCCGACATAGGAGGATCACTTAAGCCCAGGAGTTTGGGGTTGCAGTGAGCTATGATGATGCCACTGCACTCTACTTGGGATGAAAGAGCAAGATTCTGTCTCAAAAAAAGAAAAAAAAAAAAAATCACTGCTCTAAGTGTATTCCTTTTAAATAAAATAGGCTTGCTATTTGCAACTGTCATTAGATTGTTTTCTTTTTTAGAAAAAAAATTGAGATATAATCCACATGCTCTTTTAACATGTACAGTTGAATACACATGTATTCACAATAGTATATATTCACAGAGTTATGTAACTACTCCAATTCCAAAACATTTTCATCAGGCAAAAAGAAACCCTATACGCAATAGCAGTCGCTTCCCATTCCCCCACACTCCAATCCCCTAGAAACCACTAATCTACTTTCTCTCTTGATGAATTTGCACATTATTAGATATTTCATATAAATAGAATCATAAAATATGTGGAATTTTGCATCTGGCTTCTTTCACTTAATGTTTTCAGGGTTCACCCATGTTGTAGTATAGGTCAGAACTTAATTTTTTTTCCTGCTTTTTTCTTTTTATTGAGATTCCAAAGTCATGCGTCGCAATAGCGGAATTACTTCAACAGTCAAAAAACCCCTCTATCAACCAGATATTGCTTAGCCCAGAAAAAATAAAAGAGGGACTTAAACGCCAACAAGAAAAGAATGCTGATGCCCTAAGGTAATCCATGAATGATCTGCTAAGGTAGATGACATCTTTTAAATATCTCTAAAATACGGACATACCCTCACTACTTACTGGTTTTTACACATTGACTTCTGAAAAAATAAAAAAAATTGGGAGATAATTGTTGCAAAGATCCCTACTTTTCCCTTTTAGCTGTGGAAGTAGAAAACACCATCTTAAAAACAGAGTTACTTTATAGCATATCTTTTTTTCAATGTGAATTCTTTTTGATTTTTTATAGATAGTAATATTGAGAAACAGCATAGTTGGTAATTGGTACACATACTAGTCATTAAATCCTAAATTCAAGTTCAGCATGTGTACCGCTTGTAGCTTTTATAATACTTTTTGATCATATTTGGTTATCAGCATATTAATTAACAGTCTTTGGATTCTTGGAACCAGATAACACTCAAGCAGGAGCCTTCTTAACTTGATTTTGTCTTTGCTTTATAATTAGTATATGAATATTCCTACTGACCGATTTCTAAAATGTCTTTATAAATAATGAACTCTTAGAGCCTATCTAATGTATTTCAGATACCTGGAGTATCTACATAGATAGACCACTCCTAATTAATCGATTACTACTTACAGATTTACTATTGAATGTCCACTTGGGAACAGTTGAGTTATTCCCTGTACCTAGCCCTTCACGTTCTTTTCCCAGCATCTCTGTTCACCCATCTGCTTTCACTTTGTCTTCTCACCAGGTGCTTTATGAGCTGGTGATGAGATGTAGGGGGAGGAGGGTGAATTTAGCTGGAGTTTGAATTTCTATGACATTATTTGATGTTCATCTTAGTATCACAGTAATAAAATATATCACCTGGATTTTTTTCTTTTTAAGGAACTATGAAACTTTGGTGAACACTTTGCTAGATGGTGTGGAGCAAAGAAATCTGTAAGTGCAGAGAGTGTTTGTAGTTCTTAAAGCATTTCTCTTAAATACTATAGGGGTTTTCTATATCAAAGGCCATGAATAACTATATCACAAAAAATTTACTCTGGTTTGTGTATTTAGAAGGTGATTAGGAGGGAAAGAGATGGAGGGGGAGGTGTAGTGTTGATAGGAGCAGTGTTCTTCAATAGACCTATTTTAATTCTCTAGAAATTTAAAATTATGTTTCAAATACAAATTTTTTAAAAAGTGGTTTTATGTGTGATAGGCTTTATCATTTTTCCCTCTTTTTAAGGCCCTGGAAATTTGAACATATAGGAATTGGGCTTCTGTCTCTACTCTTGAGAGATGACCGAGTGTTGCCTCTTCGTGCCATACGTTTTTTTGTTGAGAATCTCAACCATGATGCAATTGTGGTTCGAAAGGTAGATACCTTATTTTAACTATAATCTTGGGTTTGAGAATATTTACTTCACCTGACGTCTTTAAGTTCTTCACAAACAATACACACTTATTAAATACTTTGAAGTGTATTGATTCGAAGTCTCCCTCTGTTGGTTCGGAGATGGTAATGATTCATTTAACAAATCTACGAGGATGTATTTAGGCACTATGCATTTTAACACCGGGGATATAGCAGGGAGCAAGTTTATAGGCTCATAGGAAAGATTGACTTCGAAAAATTAGAAAATAGGGTGTGTAGTGTTTCAGGAGAGGAAAGAAGTCTGAGGATACAACTTTTTGGCTTTTTGCTCTCAAAATATTAGAGGTAAGGTGCAGGGGGTGGGGTGTGCTGGCTTAGGCTAATACATCAGAGAAAGACATTTAAAAAGACAGGCTAAGATTTGAAGAATGAGCAGATACTGGTTTAACAACAAAAGAATCAAAGTTTTCTAGGCAGAGAGACTAGCACATGTGAAGTTCCTAGAGTAAGGACTACAAATGACTCATTCCAAGTCAGAGTTAGCACTCATATGGCTGTGCCACCAGATGTTAATGGCTAAGGTGATTTTGAAAGAAACCGAATCCAATTCTGCTTTGAGTGAAGCAGGCAATCATTTAAGAGATAAAAAAATTGTGAGACATGTATACCTTCCTATGTTTTTTCTAGATGGCTATCTCAGCTGTGGCTGGTATTCTCAAACAGCTAAAAAGAGCTCACAAAAAGCTGACCATTAACCCCTATGAAATCAGTAAGTACTACCAAAAGCAATTAAGAGTGCTTTTCAGGCTGGGCACGTTGGCTCACACCTGTAATCCTAGCACTCTGGGACGCTGAGGCGGGAGGGTTGCTTGAGGCTGGGAGTTCAAGACCAGCCTGAGCAAGAGAGAGAGACCCTGTCTCTACTAAAAATAGAAAAATTAGCTGGGCGTGGTGGTGTGCGCCTGTAGTCCCAGCTACTGAGAAGGTTGAAGCAGGAAAATCGCTTGAGCCTGGGAGTTTGAGGTTGCAGTGAGCTATGATGATGCCACTGCACTCTAGCTCAGGTGACAGTGAAAAAGAGTGCTTTTCAGTAAAACTGAGAAAATTTCCTTGAAATGTATAAATTATATTAATAGTTCTTTAGCTCAAATATTCTATGGATATTAACATAAAGTATGAAATAATGTTATCAGCTGGGCATGGTGGCTTAGGCCTGTAATCCCATCACTTTAGGAGGCCAAGGCAGGAGGATCACTTGGGGCCAGGAGTCCGAGACCAGCCTGGGCAACATAGTAAGACCCTGTCTATGCAAAAAATTTAAAAGTTAGCCGAGTGTGGTGGTGCAGGCCTGTAGTCTTACCTACTCAGGAGGCTGAGGTGGGAGGGTTGCTTGAGCCTAGGAGTTCAAGACTACAGTGAACTATGATTGTGCCACTGTACTCCAGCCTGGGTGACAGAGTTGAGACCCTGTCTAAGGAAGAGAAAAAAGAAATAGTATTATGAAAGAAACATTTGATGTAGTAAAACTAGTAATAAGTATTTTAAAAAATAGATTGACTCTTCATATCTTCATAATACATGTACCTTTTGCACACTCCAGGCAAATATGCCACTACTTCATATTATTTATCTCACCCACTAAACAGTTACCACATTAACTGCCATGTATTTAACTCATGCTAGTTTTGAGCCCAGGACTTGGGGAAGCATATGTAACTCACACGTCTCTTTTTCTTGGGAACAGTGTAAACTATTTTTCAAGTTGCATATAAATTACGTACAGAAAACAATAAAAAATAACACATTTTTCATTAAATTGGAAAGGATCATTTTGTTTTTGAAGCTTTAATTCTATTTTCATAATGAAACACCATGGCCCCAAGGGAAAATTTTTTTTCTAGTGTGGCAATGTGTTATATTAGTTATTTATCCAACCATATTTCAAAGACTTAAAATACCTCTTATCAATTTGGTGAGCTTTTGTCTCTGGGTGTGGGATTAGGGGCAAGGTTAATTTTGTTCTTTATACTTTATTATCAGAATTCTCCAAAAGAAAAAACATTTTTTTCGCCCTACAATCCAATCCAGGATTAAAACATTACCTGTAGTTGTCATGTCTCTTTTAATTTCCTTTTCTTTTTTGGGAGGACGGCGTCTCACTCTGTCACCTGGGCTAGAGTGCTGTGGCATCAGCCTAACTCACAGCAACCTCAAACTCCTGGTCTCAAGTGATCCTCCTGCCTCAGCCTCCCAAGTAGCTGGGATTACAGGCGTGTGCCACCATGCCCGGCTAAATTTTTTCCTATTTTTAGTAGAGATGGGGTCTCACTCTTGCTCAGGCTGGTCTCAAACTCTTGAGTTCAAGCTATACTCCTGCCCTGGCCTCCCAGAGTGCTAGGATTACAGGCGTGAACCACCACACTCACCCTTCTTTTAATGTCTTTTAACAGTAATGTTTAATCCTAGATTGGATTGTAGACTAGAAAAAATGTTTTTAATTTTTTACTTTTGATTAAAGGACATTCAGTGGGACAATTGACAAAGTTTGAATAAGGTCTGTTGATGAAATAATAGCACAGTATCAATGTTAACTTTTTGATTTTGAGAATTTTGGTTATTTTAGAGAATGTTTACAGTTCATACTCAAATGATTCAATAAACGTGTGTGGTGGGGGAGAGACAATGTCAAAGCATACATTATAAGATGTTAAAATTTAGAGTGTCTGGCTGAACAATATATAAGAATTCACTGAGCTCGTAAGTCAGAAATTAATTCAAAGCTAAAAAGTTTCAACAAAATTAATCCTTCTAATTTGGGTAAAAGGGATGAACTATGTATAATACTTGATTTTCTCCCTGCTAGTAGCCATCCCAACACCATTTAGTGGATAATCACATCTTTTCTTCTCTGGTTTGAAATGCTCCCTTAATTGCGTGTGTGTGTGTGTGTGTGTGTGTGTGTGTGTGTGTGTGTGTGGTTTTGCCTTGAGAGAATTTTAAAAGAGTCTTGTTATGAAGGAAAAGTTGCACTATTACTATTGATTGAAAGTTGAGAATAATGCTTGGATGGATGTTTTTAAATTCATTGAACGTCATTGTCTTTTCCTTAGGTGGACATCCTAAACCCATCCAAATTCTTGCTGGTGATAGGCCTGATAATCATTGGTTGCATTACGATAGCAAAAGTATACCAAGAACTAAAAAAGAATGGGAGTCATGTTGTTTTGTGGAAAAAACTCACTGGGGATACTACACCTGGCCCAAGTAAGTTGTAACTTACCATGTACCCTATCTATCATTAAAAAGCCTTTGATATAATTGTTGTATCATATTTGGATTTCTGGGGAGGTTCAGAGGCATTTGAAGGTTTTTTCATCTTCCCTCTTCCTTTCTTTCTTTTGCTCCTGCCAATGCTGCCTCATTCCTGCCTCTTTCCTTGTACCAAAACACTTAGCCTTTCTTAATCCTAGTATGATATGGCTGAGGATGTTGTTAATATCTGCTCTAAATTATATTCCTACCTATTAATACACATGCCTAAACCAGCTCAGAGAACTACTTCTTTGTCTTTTGTTATTAATTCCAATGATTTGTCATTAGGACACAGTGATCTGATAAGTTTTTAAGGCTCAGACTGTTACTGATGTACTCGTATCTCCAAACTTAGCATCTAGTTAGAGTTCATTAAAAGTTCCTTCTAATTGCTTTCTATCCATGAAGCTCTAGTATTTTTTTCTATGCATATTATAAACATAAACTCTTACTGTATAGGAATATGGTTGTTTATGCTGGTGTGGAAGAGCAGCCTAAGCTTGGCAGAAGCAGGGAGGATATGACAGAGGTAAGCATTCCATTTCACCATGGTTCAAATGCCATCTTTTTTTGGCCATGGATTTATCTCAATCTCAGCTTAGGTCTTTTTTTTTTCCATTTGTGTATTTTAAGATAGCACTGAGTAAATACTAGTGCACATGTAACCCTCTCGCCCTCTCTTCCCCTTCTACTAGGGCCAGTTGACACAGATCTTGATATATCTAAAGTTACTCTCAAGTTACTACCTCATTTAGCACACTCCCTTGGGAATTGCTTTATTTAGTTAGCTGCTAGTTCCTTGTATCAGTTTTGTCTGAAACAAGCTTCTTGAAGGAAAAGATAATGACTGATGTTTAGTTTTTTATTGCATATATATGATGGGCACTCAGTAAATAGATGTTTGTAGGTTTGGTTTTTTTTGTTTCTTTTGTTTTGTTTTGTTTTGTTTTTTTGAGACAGGATCTCACTCTGTCACCCAGGCTGGAGTGTAGTGATGTGATCATAGTTCACTATAGCCTTGACCTCCTGGCTCAAGCAGTCCTCCCACCTCAGCCTCCCAAGTAGCTAGGACTACAGGAGCAGGTCACTGCACCTGGCTAATTTTTTTATTTTTTGTAGAGATGGTGTCTTATTATATTGCCTAGGCTGATCTCAAATTCCAGGCTTTAAGTGATCCTGCCTGGGCCTCCCAAAGTTCTGGGATTACAGGCATGAGCCACCACGCCCAGCCAAGAGTTTAGTCAAAACTTAGATTTCACTGACCTTATTTCACATTGAAAGTTGACAAAGGGTTTTAAAGTCTATGTTTTCCTCAAATTAATGTTATGTAACTTTTATGTTTTGGTTCAGAACAAAGTTTGCCTTTTAACTTTGGTGTTATGTAAATATGGAAATGATTTCTTAAGCTTTGATTTATACCTTTGGGGGATTTTTGTAAATTGCTCATCAGGGGACACAATAGCATTGTCTTCATTTCCCAAGCAAAACATTTGTTGGTTTTAATTCACAGTGTGAGAAATGGAACCCCAAACTTAAGAATCTGAAGGAAAACTTTTAGCTATTTTTATGGATGTAGCATTTTTGTGGGGAGATATGATTTTGGTTTTAGAAAGCATTATAGTCTCTATAAGAACTAGAAGTTCTTTAGGATAAAAACAGCTCGCTGTTGAGTATCAAAATCTTATAATTGAATTTTAACTTTTTCAGAATCATGTTTTTAAATAGATTGTAAACCCTGAATATTGTTTTTTTTAACTTTATAGGCAGAACAGATTATATTTGATCATTTTTCTGATCCTAAATTTGTTGAACAGTTAATTACTTTTCTATCTTTAGAAGACAGAAAAGGAAAAGATAAATTTAATCCACGACGTTTTTGCCTCTTTAAGGTAAGTATATTATCTATATATCCTCTTCGTAAAGCTTAGTGACTGTTCAGTTTCTAGGTTCATATGTTTTAAATACTTAATTTGAGTGCAGCCATCATCTTCATCTAAAATGGCACTGAAATTTACACCAGTCATACATTGATCTTGGCTTAAGGTTAGGGACTCATTAAAAAAAAAAAGCAAGCTTTTTAGTACAGTTGGCTGTCCTTATCTGTGGATTCTGCATTCATGGATTCAACCAACCACAGATCAGAAATGTTCAGGGAAAGAAATGGATGGTTGTGTTTGTACCGAATATGTATAGACTTTTTTTTCCTTGTCATTATTCTCTAAACAATACAGTTTAACAATTATTTATGTAGCATTTGCAATGTGTTAGGTAGTATAAGCACTCTAAAGATGATTAAAAATAAATGAGAAGATGTGTATAGGTTATATGCAAATACTGCAGCATTTTATATATAAGGTACTCAAACATTCTCATATCCTTGTTGGAGGTGGGGTGGAACCAGTCCCCTACAGATACCCAGGAATGACTATCTTTAATGTTTGTAATTAGCACTAGAAGCAAAAAACCACAAAAAACAAAACCCCAAAATATATGCATTTCATGTTTACTTACTTTTTTGAGGTATAATAGTTTTAATGTCAGAATGATTAACGTCTGTTTTCTTGGTTACGTTTTAATGTGATATGTAAAATAGTATTCTCATCATTTTAACTTAGAGACATTGTTAAAGCAGTTAGTTCTAAAGTGGAGAACACCTGAAGTTTTTAAGTACAATAATAACGTACAAAATAATTATAAAAATATTATAATTGAGATGATAGTCATTTGCGTACTGAAAAATGTTCTTTTTTTTGTTTTTATAGGGTATATTTAGAAATTTTGATGATGCCTTTCTGCCAGTTCTGAAGCCCCACTTAGAACGTTTGGTTGCAGATTCACATGAAAGCACCCAGCGATGTGTTGCAGAAATTATAGCTGGTTTAATCAGAGGTTCTAAGCATTGGACATTTGAAAAGGTGATGTATTTACCTGTACAGTGCATTTCCTGTGAAAGCTACATTATTTATTTAGGTAGCAATTCCCAAGACATTAGATACTGATACTTAAAATATGAAATGTTCGATTCTATAAAATGTGCAAAATATGTATATGTTGCTTTTGAGTACAGGTCACAACTTAATGGTCTATCGGCAACATTCAGTATCGTTACAATTTTGAAATATTTGTCAACATTGGGGGAAGAAAATCAGGACATACCATGTTTACAAAAAGAATTCCAGTTTCTCTTAAAAAAGAGGAACATCCTGGAGCACTGGTCCCACATTATTGCCCTGCGTATCAGTTGGCTGGTTCTGCACGTGGGCTTTTCCCTTCATGAAACCACTCCAGCTTCTCTCTGTCTGTCTTTTTTTTTTTGAGACAGGATCCTATTGTTGCCCTGGCTGGAGTACAGTAGTGCAATCATAGCTCACTGCAATCTCAAACTCTTGGGCTTAAGCAATCCTTTTGCCTGTGCCTCCTGAGTAATGAGGACTTTAGGTGTGTGCTACCATGTATTGCTGATTTTTCTATTCCAGCCTCTCATTAAATCTTTTCTCCTAGCCTCCTTGCTCATCTATATTACTTGTCTAGTCTTGGAGACAGTTTGAGTTTGACATACCCTTTTTAGAATAGCCCTCTTTTTAATTGTAAGACTTAGTTTTTACACACCTACCCTATAGTTCTTTGTTACCAAAATACACTAGGTTGAAAATAACCTGGTCAAACGTCAGAAATACCTGTATGTAAGGTAGACTCCTATTTCTTCAAAGCGAAAACACAAATATGCTTTTTGGCCAACTTTTAGGAAAAATATGAACACTTTTGCTCACATGAAACAACAGGAGGACTATCAATACTTTTACTTACAGGAAACATTTTTTTTTGTAGAGGCAGGGTCTCACTGTGTTGCTGGTCTTGAACTCCTGGCCTCAAGCAATTCTCCTGCCTTGGCCTCCCAAAGTGCTGAGATTACAGGTGTAAGCCACCATGCCTAGCCAGGAAACAATTTTACTTAAACATGTCACACATGTTCTTGTCATCCTGTTGCCACTTTTGAGTTACCTGTCTCTCTCTCTCTCACTCTCTCTCTCTCTCTCTCTCATCAAAGCCTGGTTGTACCACTGGATATGTTATCCCAAACTCTTCCTACACATTTTTCCTTTTTGAAAAAAATTTTTTTAATTTTTTATTCCTTAGGATCTTTTGATACATAATAATTATACATATTTATGGGGTATGTATGAAAATTTGATACATGCATACAGTGTGTGATGATCAAATCAGGGCGTGTCCTTTTAAACTAAAGTATAGTCCTTAGACTGTAGCATGAACATCACCTGGGAGCTTGTTAGAAAAGTCAAATCTCAGGCCCACCTAAGATGAATCAGAACTGGCATTTTATCAAGACCTCAAGGTACTTTGTATGCTTCTTCACCTATGAGAAGCATCCATACACATACATTCAGTCCCTATACAACTATACACTTTTAAAAGGCTATTTGTAGTAATCCAAGGCTTGAATTTGATGATTATACCTCAGGCAAATTACTAAGTTGTAGTAAAAATGTCATTGCCTCCTACTTTAATAGTCAATCGAGTGGCATTGATAAGCATGCAAAACTTAAAACTGTTTGAGGTTTTGCTTCAGCCCAGTGTACTGTGTTATTCAGAATTTTCAAAAGAGAATTTATCAGTAGTATGAAAGATTTTATAGGGTGCCATATGAAGTATCTCCTTTTCTGAATAATTTTTAGGGGAAAAATTTCATCTATACTTGGATATGTACGATGATAATATAGGAAGGTGTTTTCCTGGATTATTTGGATGCTCTAAAAAATAATTTAAATGTTGCATCAAGTTTTATGTGTGCACATTTCCAGGAAAAGAGATATTTAAAGAAAATGTTCTGAATGTCATTAACTTTTACGTGTGTATTTTGTTTTGAGTAGGTGGAGAAGCTTTGGGAGCTTCTGTGTCCTCTGCTTAGAACAGCATTGTCCAACATTACAGTAGAAACTTACAATGACTGGGGAACTTGTATAGCAACGTCCTGTGTAAGTTTTCCTGCTTCCTTTGTCTAACTCATATATTCAAACTGTTTAATACCCTGTCTCAAAATGTGTGAAATCTCATCAAATCACTATTTGGGAATAGTCATTCTATTTTATAGAGTGAAGTGTTGCCCGACAGATATATTTATAGAAAAAGAAATTTTGTTCATACTTGCATCATTTTACGTAATTGGAGATGGTTCTCTTCAACCTTTTAAATAAATCTTGAGTGATAACTCTAAGGATTGTTACATTTTTTTCTGCTGTAGTGATGCATTTTTTAGTTAAGTGACAGGTCAAATCTTGTGTTTGGAAATGTAACTTAGATGTAGTAAAAGTCACATAATACAAGGTTATAGGTATTACCATATAATATAAGGTTATAGGAATTATTTTTGACACCAAATATGTCCATACCTTCTATACTTTGATATAAAGACAATCCATTTGGGTAACAACAGTTTTCTCTCTGGTAACATAAGCTATGATAATTACATATAGATTTGACTCACCTATCAGTTTTAGTTGGATTTCCTTCCTCTACACAGCTCTTCATATCTGTAGCATCTGTATCCATGATTTTAACCAACCTTGGATCGAAGATATTCAGAGAAAAAAAATGAATGGTTTGTCTGTACTAAACACATACAGACTTTTTTGTCATTATTCCCTAAACAATATACTCTAACAACTATTTACATAGCCATTTACATTGTTTTGGATATTATAAGTATTATAGAGATGATTTAAAGTATATGGGAGGACATGTATAGGTTACATGTAAATACCATACCTGTTTATATAAGAGACTTAAATAAAAAGTCCTGGAACCATTCTCCCACAGATACCAAGAAATGACTGTACTTATATATATTTTTAATATTTCTGAAATAACTGGATATGATTTACTTAGAGAGCTCTAGGCCCCTTGTTTAATTGTTACTTTATATTTTCAACACAGGAAAGCAGAGATCCCCGGAAACTTCACTGGCTTTTTGAGCTGCTGTTGGAATCACCATTGAGTGGTGAAGGAGGATCCTTTGTGGATGCATGGTAAATAAAAAGAAAACCTGTGAAGTTAACATAAGAGATTTTGTATTGATTGATTATGTAAATGGCAATGAACTGTCTCTATTCCTAAAGGTTAGATGAAGTAATTACTTACTTCTGGAAGGTGATGTGATCCATTTCCATACAACATATGCTATTTAGTGGAGTTATTTCTCAGTTGGGAATAAGTAGGAGAAATGTAGGCAACCTGAGAAGTTCAAACATAAGTTAGATTCAGCATTCTCTGCTGTCACATCTTTTATTGGTATTGCTTTTTGTACCAAAAAGCAATGGAGATGGGGGTGTAATAGTAGTAACTTCTTTATCACATCGCTTTTTCACTTTTTCCTGTTAAAAAAGATACAAAGAAAAGAGAGTAATCATTTTAAGGAAAACCGACTACACTTGTTGGGGGCACGTGGAGCTGTAGAAAGTTAGTGAATGACAGGAAGAAATATGGATAGTCCCATTAAAAAGAAGAATAAGTACTCTGTTAATTAGTGAGAAAATGTGAGTTCCAATGCTTAAAGATTAACTCAATGTGTATTCTTAAGTCAGTATTTCTTTCAGTTGTGTAGTAGTGGAAATCAAATGCAAATACAGAGAAAATTATGTAGGAAAATAAAATCTTCGTGAAGATACTATTTTGAATTATGGATATTATTAGGTGAGAAAATGAAGAAGTTTTAATTGAAATGCAGACGTTGTTTATCTATACTGTCAATCCGTAAAGGCAGAAAGGGGGCTCTAACACAACACTCCTGTGCTTTAATTTTAGTCGACTTTATGTACTACAAGGTGGCCTTGCCCAGCAAGAGTGGAGAGTGCCTGAGCTGTTGCACAGACTACTGAAGTACTTGGAACCCAAACTCACCCAGGTTTACAAAAATGTCAGGGAAAGAATAGGGAGGTAGGTACTATTTTCTCTGTGTTGTGGCATACCTCTTGAGTTCTTTTTTTTAACATTTTAATGTAATACACACTGGTTGTGTTGTCAAGGAGTTTCATGGTGTCTTCTTCCTCAAATTTTGTTTACTATTGTACTGTGGGAAACAAGACTAGTCCTAAATGTAAACTAGGACAGCAGTGTGCTCAGAGGTGAGCAGTCACTGTACCCTAGATTTTTTTATGTGCTTTTCATTTGTTTTTGAGACAAGGTCTTGCTTTGTCACCCAGGCTGGAGTGCAGTGGTGCAATCACAGCTCACTGCAATCTGGGACCCCTGGGCTCAGGAGATCTTCCTGTCTCAGCCTCCCAGGTAGCTAGGACTATAGGTGCTTGCCACCATACCTGGCTGATTTTTTTTTAAAAATTTTGTAGATATGGGCTATGTTATCCAGACTACATATCCTACTTTGAATACTTCGTAATTATGGTTTCTTTTATACAAGGCACAATCTGAAACCTTCTTTAGGAATTGACCTGGGATGGTTTACTTTGGTTGGGTTATAACTGTTTTTGAGACAGAGTCTCACTCTGTTGCCTGGGCTAGAGTGCCGTGGCGTCAGCCTAGCTCACAGCAACCTCAAACTCCTGAGCTCGAGTGATCCTCCTGCCTCAGGGGTCATAACTTTTGAACCTCGATTTTATTGATAATGTGGGACCTCTTCTTACTATTATGTGTTTTATTTTACAGTGTGCTGACCTACATATTCATGATAGATGTTTCTTTGCCAAATACCGCGCCAACAACATCCCCTCGTGTCCCTGAGTTTACTGCTCGAATTCTAGAGAAATTGAAACCTCTCATGGATGTGGATGAAGAAATTCAGAACCATGTTATGGAAGAAAATGGAATTGGTGAAGAAGATGAACGAACCCAGGGCATTAAACTCTTAAAAACCAGTGAGTGACTAAAATTAGTAGAATCTCACTTGAAAGCACATTTATTTTGATTATCCTATGGGGTTTTTTCCCCCACTTTTTTTTTTTTTTAATAGAGAGGGTCTTGCTCTATTAACCAGGCTATAATATACTGGCGCCCTTGTATATCACTGCAACCCCGAAATCTTGGACTCAAGGAATCCTCCTGCTTTAGTCTCCCAAGTAGCTAGGACTATAAGTGCACACCACCACATATAGCTAATTTTTAAAACTTTTTTATGGAGATGGGGGTGTCATTCTTTTGCCCTGGCTGATCTCAAGCTCCTGGCCTCCTGAAGTGCTGAGATTATGGGCATAAGCCACCATGCCTGGCCCCCACTTTTTTTATTGTCGTAAAATGTATGTAATACGAAATTTGCTATTTAAACCATTTTTAAGTGTGCAGTTCAGTAGCATTAAGCACAGTCTCACTGTTGTACAATCATCACCATTCATCTCTGGAATTCTCTTCATCTTGCAAAACTGAATCTCTACCCTTTCACCCTAACTCCTCATTCTCTCCCCAGCCCCTAGCAACCACCATTCTACTTTTAATCTCTGTGAATTTGCCCATAATAGGTAGTTCATATAAGTCTAATCACATAATATTTGTCTTTTTGTGTCTGGCTTATTTCACTTGGCATAGTATTTTCAAGGTTGATGCACATTGTTGCATGAATCAGAAATTCATTCCTGCCACATTTTGTTTATGCATTCATCTGTTGATAGACATTTGGGTAGTTTCCATTTTTTGGCTATTGTGAATAATGCTGCTGTGAACATTGATGTGTAAGTACCTATTCGTGTCCGTGCTTTCAATTCTTTTGGGTATATACCTAGAAGTGGAATTGCTGGACTATATGGTATTTCTGTTTAAGTTTTTGAGACACTACCAAATTGTTTTCCACAGCGGCTGCAACATTTTACATTCCAATCAGCAAATGCACAGGGGTTCTCATTTCTCTGTGTCCTCACCAAAGCTTGTTGTTTCTGGTTTTTTTGTTTGTTTGTTTTGTTTTGTTTTTAATTATAGCCATCCTAGTGATATGAAGAGGTATCTTGTGGTGTTTTTGTTTTGTTTTGTTTTGTTTTGTTTTTGAGACAGAGTCTAGCTCTGTCGCCCAGGCTAGAATGCTGTGGCATCAGCCTAGCTCACAGCTAGGCTCAAACTCCTGAGCTCAAGCAGTCCTCCTACCTCAGCCTCCCAAGTAACTGCGACTACAGTCACATGCCACAATGCCTGGCTAATTTTTTTTTATTTTTAGTAGAGACTGGGTCTTGCTCTTGCTCAGGCTGGTTCTCAAACTCCTGACCTCAAGGGATCCTCCTGTCTCATCTTCCCAAAGTGCTAGGATTACAGGCATGAGCCACCGCGCCCAGCCTGATTGTGGTTTTAATTTGCGTATCCCTAATGATTAGTGATGTTAAACATATTTTCGTGTACTTATTGACCATTTGTATGTCTTCTTTGGAGAAACATCTACTCATGTCCTTTGCCCATTTTTGAATTAGGTGGTTTTTCTGCTGTTCAGTAGTAGTTCTTTATATGTTCTGGGTATCAATCCCTTATTAGATATACGATTTACAAATATTTTCTCCTCTTCTTTGGGTTTTCTTTTTACTCTCTTGATGGTGTCCTTTGATGCACAGAAGTTTTCAATTTTGATGAAGTCCAATTTATCTGTTTTCTCTTTTGTTACCTTGGAAATCATTGCTGGATGGAATGTCATGAAGCTTTTTCCTAAGTTTTCTTTGATGATTTTTATAGTTTTAGTTCTTACGTTTAGGTCTTTAATCTACTCTGAGTTAGTTTTTATATGTGGTGTAAGGCTGTGGTCCCCAACCCCTGGGCCACAGACCAGTACCTGCCCGTGGCCTGTTAGGAACTGGGCCGCACAACAGGCGGAAACTTCATCTGTATTTATAGCTGCTCCTCATGGCTCGCATTACTGCATAAGCTCTGCCTCCTGTCAGATCAGTGGTGGCATTAGCTTCTCCTAGGAGCATGAACCCTACTGTAAACTGCGCATGTGAGGGATCTAGGTTGCTCACTTCTTGTGAGATTCTAATGCCTGATGATCTGAGGTGGAGCTGAGGCAATGATGTTAGCACTGGGGAGTGGCTGCAAATACAGATTATCATTAGCAGAGAGGTTTGACTGCACAATAAATGTAACGCGCTTAAATCATCCTGAAACCATCCCCCCCCATTCCCAGTCTATGGAAAAAAATGTCTTCCATGAAACTGTCCCTGGTACCAAAAAGGTTGGGGACTGCTGGTGTAAAGGATATAAGGTAAGGATCCAGCTTCATTCTTTTGCAAGTGGATGTTCAGTTTTCCTAGAACCATTTATTAAAAAGACTGTCCAGCCTTTCTCCATTGTGAATAGTCTTAACTCTTTTCAAAAATTAGTTGGCCATGAAGTGTACTATTTTGAGTAGAAAAATATTAATTGGCCATATTGTGAGGGTTTATTTCTGGGTTCTCTATTCTCTTCCATTGGTTTATATCCCTGTCTTTATGCCAGTACCACACTTAGCTTTGTCATAAGTTTTGAAATCAGGAAGTATGAATCCTCCAACTTTTTCAAGGTTGTTTTGGCTACTGGGGATGTATTTTTGTTTTTGTATCAAAAATTTTCAAGGAAAAAGCACTTAGTCATTATTTAACTACATTAAGGTTCTTGAAAGTTAGTTTTAATTTGTATTCAGTGTAGATATTTGATGGACTGTGATGGACTGTTAATAATTTGCAGATTTATTCTTGGGGAGTGGTTTCAGTACTCTGCATTGGTTGAAACCTTTAATTATGGGTCCTTTTACACTTTTATGAAGTAATATAGACAATGAAGGAGCTATCAGAGTGGCTATCTGACACTAGCATTACGATATTATTCTGTGGTCTCTAACTAGATAGCAACGATTTACTCTTTGTGTTTGTTTTCAAATAGTATTGAAGTGGCTGATGGCAAGTGCAGGAAGATCCTTCTCAACAGCAGTCACAGAACAACTTCAGCTTCTACCTTTGTTTTTTAAGGTAAGGTTATGGCTGAAATTAAGAATGCATCTCCTTTCTGACCTTGAAAAGGATTTTTGTTCATCATCTGATGGTTGATAGATTTTTTTCAGACAAATGTATAAATTTTGATTGGATCTCTGAGATTTAGAATAGTCACAGAATATCATTAGGTGTTAGTGGTTTAATACTTGTTGAAATTGTCTTTTTAATATTAGGTGAGTGAGAGCAGGATCTTGAAAAATACATGAGCATTTTATAGACAGACATTGTTTCATTGATAGCTAGTTTCTGGATAATAACAGTTTAGAGAAAATATTGATAGTTAACAGAAAAGCTGCAGTGAAATTTTTGAATATAGCTATTTCTGACTTTTTTATTCAATATATAGTAAATCTAAAAATGAAAATGTTCAGCATATTGTGCTTATTTTACAGTGTTGGCTCCATAACTGTTTCTAATAAATATCTCTGCAGGAAGTCATTTGCCTCTGGTATCATAAAATGACATTGAAATTTTATTAGTGAAAGGCAGAACCTTGAGGTGGTTTTAAAATACTCATCTACTCAGAGGATGAAGCCAACAGAACTAAGGTCAAAGATTATTACTTTCCAAAATTGTACTTTGCAATCATGAAATGGTTGGCTGTGGTTAGCAAAACAATCTAGTCAAATTGAACATTTGGAAGGCTTGGCACAGACATCACCACTACTCAGCAATTGTTGGCCAGTACAGTCATTATCACTTAAGGAGGAGGGCCCTTGTTGTTGATTAACAAATGGCATGCTAAACTTCTGATTTGCTACAGTAGTATACTTTAGGAAATTTCAAAAAGATACGTTTACCAGTAATTTTCAAAGATTTCACTACTGAAATACTTCTAAGAATGCTATGTATGTGCTAATACCCATGAATACTTCTGGGATCTTCGGGGTGTAAGAGTGGACAGTAGCTACTAGTATATGGGTCCTTTTTACCTGTAGGTCTTGGGGTTTGTCTTTAGGGAAGTGATGCTTAAGCGGTTTTCCTCTGTCACGTACCCAGTGGGTATAGAACTTGATCTCATTTGTTCATAAATTGGTAATGTGTAGTGATTGTTAGGAAAGCTGGAGTCCCATCCCTTTCCTTACATTTACAAAAATGTATATAAGCAAGTATGTGAGAGTGAGGTTGGTAGAAGGATGATTGGAATCCACTTGAAACTTATGAAAAACTTCATCATTAGAAAGCTGTACTACATAAGTTACTAGTGACATGCCTAATATCTCATCTGGATATGCTCATATTGAGGTGAAGAATCTGCATTAGGCCATCATGTTGATGAGGTCTGAGGTACAAAGGCATTACAACATAGTTATTTTGCACACAAAGTAGATGTGTAGAGTGTGAAGATAAAGAGGAGTTTAAAAGAAACTTGTTTACTAAACTGTGGAAGGAGCACAGAAGTAGTTTGAGAAGTTCCTTTTGAACATATTTGAGAGGTTTGTAAGACTTATCAGTGAAGATGCTTATAATATGATGACACTTATAAGTGAAGATAATGAGTAGGCATTTGGAGTTCAGGGGAGTAGTTCAGCCTGGTGGTACAAACTTGGGTGTCATCAACATACAGATGATATTTAAAACCATGAGATCGAGATCATCATTGGAGTGAGTGTAGATGGAAAAAAGAAGTTCAAGGATTGAACCAGTGTTCAGAGGTTAGGGAGATGAGTGTACGACAAATAAAGAAGGCTCAGTTAGAATATGCTTCAAAGTTTGTGGAAATTTTTAGTAACTATATGAATTTAATTTTTCTCTTCTATTATAAAGGAAGTAAATGCCTATTGAGAAAAAATTTAGAAAGCTGAAGGGAAAAAATTCATAAACCACAATCTACCATTAATCTTATTTTCTATACATCTTTTTTCTTAAAATTGTCAGTTTATAAAAGTAGTACATGCTCATGAAAAATCTAGACCATAAAGACTGACAAGACTCTAATTTTGTATCTGCACCCCACAGAGAGTCACTGTTCATAGTTATTTGTATTTCTCCAAATGTTATTTTCCTACACAGTTGTTTTTTAATAGGATCATGCCAGTTGTTCTGCAGCTTCCCTTTTTTGTACCTAATCAATACATTATATACTTTTCCAGATGAGTAAATAGATATCTGTATTTTCCTTACCTGTCTGTGTTAGAATTTAATATCCAGTTTACTCTGTAGTAGTAGATGCTGGTTTTATTTATTTATATATATATTTTTTTATTTATTTATTTTTTTGAGACAGGGTTTTGCTCTGTTGCCCAGGCTGGTCTCCAACTCCTGGTCCCAAGTGATCCTCTAGAGGACTGGGACTGCGGGCATGCACCACTGGGCCCGGCTGGTTTTATTACAGTTGTTCACTAGGTAGACAACAAGAGACGGGGAATGGTAGTGGTTAACAGCATGAACTTTTGAACCAGGCTGCCTGGATTCAAACTTAGCTCCATTACTGATGAACTGTGTAACTATGGGCAATTAACCTGATCCCTCAGAACTTTTTACCCCCCTTCATCTGTAAAATGGGGGTGATAATACCACCTACCTCGTAAGGATGTTGTGAGGATTAAATGTGTCTCCCACGATCCAAATTGAGGAGTGGGTGGCTGAGTTTGATAGAAAGCAATACCACATTATCTGAATTTTTCCATTTTCTGCATTTCTATTGGCAAATTTAGCAAGAGTTTAGATTAAAAGGGATCAGACCCAAAATTGAGAGAGTAAGAGGTACCTGCATATGCAAAGTGCATAGAGCAGCATCAGGCACATGGTAAACACTGTAGAAGTGTTCATCTTCACTATTGATACAACGAACATCTTGTACACATATTTTGTACTTTGTACATATTTTTGAACTCCTGGGCTCAAGTGATCCTCCCACCTCAGCCTCTAGAGTAGCTGGGATTCCAGGTACATGCCACCATACCTAGCTAAAATCCTTTTTATTATATACCATAAAAAGTTTTATATCCATTTAAAAAAAAACCCTTTGAAACCTTGAAAGAAAATATATATGTGTGTGAAAAGTGAAAGTTTGAGTAATTTGCCTATTTTGGTCTGAGTCTCCATATTACTTAAGATTAAGGGAAGAGGTTTTCGAACCATGAATAGTTTATAGAGACCTCGTTTTAGGATAAACAGAGTCCTAGGTTAAAATCCTGCCTGTGACAAGTGCTTTCTTTGTGGCCTAACATAAGCTACTGAACTTTTAAGACTATCCCCTTATATATAAAGTATGAGATAATATCAATATCCCTTACAGAATTGTTGTGAGGATGAAATGAGATATGCCTGTAAAGCTGAGAGCACAGTGTGGAGTATACATTTGTATTGTTATTTTACTTGTTACCATTATTTTAATTTGTAACAAATAAGAGCTCAAATTGTCGAGCAGTCAGGAGAGAAGGGCCAAGGTGCCGTGTCCCTAAGTTCCAACTTTGCAAAATGCTCATTAAAATTCACCACTATTACTGTAAGTAATAGTTTTGCATATGTCAAACTTAGAGAAAAATGTACAGATACTGTGATACATTGTTGTACAGTTACTTCCCATTGATGATATTTCTTCAGAAAAATTAGTTTTCCCAGTAATTAGAGGAAAGGAAGACCATGTAAGGTGTTTCCATTCCTAACTAAATGGACAGCATTTTCTGCTGGTTGTTACAGTTCAATGTCAGTTAAATTTTATCTGTGATGTAATAAAAATAAATTTGTGCGAAAACAAGGCAAAAGAAAAATTACAAGCTCCTTTGATTATATCAGTGGATCAGTTAAGGTTCTTTGATAATAAGCCCTAGAGACCAACTGGCTTTGAAAACAAAAATAGGAAATTAATTAGATTACCTGGGAGTATTTAGGTAGTTCACAGAATGCAAGTAAAAGCTGAACAACTGAGTTAGGAACCACAGCAGCTTTGGGGATCTAAGTTATAGAAAATAACAGACACCTCATTAGAGTGCCAGGCGGGGGTCTCTTGCTACCCTTTGTCTAGGGAGTGTGATCCTTTGATCTACAGTCCCACCAGAATGACAGAAGAGAAGGATGATCCTCCAAAAGGAAATAAAAATATCATTATCAGCAGGAGGAGGAATGGATATTGGCTAGGAAGTGTATATATTATATTACAGGTAACCATTAAAACATCTTTCTTATTTCAAGTCTTAAGGAAAACTAAAATCATTGTAGGTCAATTTGCTCTAGAATAATAAAGATGGAAAGCAAAAGAAAATAATAAACAGCTCCTGAAGAAAGCTCCTGAATTTCATGGGCATAGACTACCCCTCCCCCCAAAAAACTTTTTATTTTGAAATAATTAAAGATTCACAGGAAGTTGCAAAGATAGGTACAAAGAAGTTCTATGTACCCTTCATGCAATTTCCTCCAGTAATTACATCTTATATAACTATGGCACAATCTGAAAACCAGAAAATTGACATTGGTACATGGTACAATTCCACATCATTTTATTACCATAAAAATCTCCTTGTGCCACTCTTTGTAATCACACCTATCTCCCTCCCTGTCAACATCCCCAACCCTTAACAACTACTAACTTGTTCTCCATCTCTGTGATTTTATCATTTAAGAATGTCATGTAACTGGGTGCAGGGGCTGGCACCTGTAGTCTCAGTTACTCTGGAGGTTGATGCAGGATTGCTTGAGCCAGGAGTTTGAGGCTGTGGTGAATTATAATAGAGTGTGAATAGTTACTGCACTCTGTCCCAGGCGACACAGCAAGACCCCATTTCTTAAAAAGAAGAAGAAGATATATAAATGGAAGTATGTGACCTTCAAAGATTAGCTTTTTTTACTTGAAAAATTCTCGTAAGATCCATCTAAGTTGTTGCATGTAGGACATTTTTATTCTTACTTTAGATTTTTTCTTCAGATATATTGTGGCATGCATTATTACGAAAGGGCTAATCCACCCCTTTAGAACCAGGAGCACTTCCCCACTCCCACTCCCATTCTTTTCAGTTGTCTGGGTCTTAGCTTCT